GAAAAAAAAAACTAAGTGTATTTAATAACTTTAATAATTAATTCATATAATTTAATAGCTAAATATAATGTAAGTTAATTTCAAAAATTAATATATTTTTTTTTGATATCCACCAGAAAATATAAATCCATATTAAATATGTTATTATGAATTTTTAACAGTTTGAAAATATATATTTTATTTATTAAACCCAACACTATACTATACAAAACATTTAAAATTTTAGAAAGGTAACTACAATTTGAAAACAAAAAAATACAAAAATAAAGTCATAAAAAGCTTTAGTAAAAAAATCGAAACATAAACAAAAAAAATTGGTGTGAGAAAATTAATTAGTGAGTTTAGGAATTTTAAGGTTGTTAGAATACTAAAATTGTCAATCATCTCCTAACCAAGACTCTCGAAAAAACTTTATTCCACCACAAATTGTGAATCCAAAAAAACATAGTAATTCTCCAATGAATCGATGTAAAAGTTTAATATCGCATCAAGGCTATAAAAAGAGTCACAAAAAATACAATCAAACATCAATTATTCTCTCCTTACAGTTTTAGGTTCTAACGAAATAAAACACAAATATGTATTCCAATATCTCTGGTGAAATGATGCATATGTCTCGATACAAGCAAAATATACTACAACTTGTATGATCAATAAATTTCAAAAGCAATTAATTTTCACTAATTTTTTACCTATATCTATACTTATAATTGTGAGGTCAAAAATCCTACGTGTCGTCTCCAGAATGAGTTTAAGACTTGGTTTACCTATATTACCCTTAATGATCTATATAATTACATATCATGCCATCGACAATTAGTTGATATGTGTTTATTGGGTTTAGATGTGAGATTTTTTTGGCCCATAATTAGTGCTCCGATTAGTTGTCGGTTATGTTAGTGAAATCCTAAGTGCAACTTTGTTATTTCTTATTCTATATATTAGGGTTAATTAGGGTTTGATCTTGAATATTACTCCTCCTCCGATTTAGTTTCGTCTTTCTATACGTAATTTTTTATTGTTTGGCTTTATAGTTGTGCGCCATTATTATTATTGTTGTTCATGCATTGTATGTTGTTTGAGATTCAATTCTTCTTTGCCAAGGTATGAGTTTTCCTTAACCTATTCCTCGGATGATCCCCGCAGTACAAGAAAACACAGTTTTAGCGTCAAAATTTTGCGTCGGATTGTGCGTCGATTTTGTGTTGTTGAAAACATTCGACGCAAAATTGGTACGAAAAATAGCGACGCTAAATCGATGCAATTTAGCGTCGAATTAGCGTTGATTTAGCATCTAGATTATTAATTCGACGCTAATTCGACGCGAATTCGAAGCAAAGTCGACGCAAAATAATTCGATGCTAATTCGATGCTAAATTCCGATGCAAATTCAAAGCAAAATCGCTGTTAAAAGTTCTTATAAATACATCCCCCAAATGCACCCCAAACCAAAAATCATTGAAAAAAAGAAATCTTTCAATAAATTTTCTTAGTTACATTTTCTGAATAAGATGGGCGATATATACGAACTAAGAAGCTGGATGTATCGACGTAGATATGAAAATTGAGGAATTTCAGAAGAGTTCCTCAACGGGCTTGAAATTTTCATGGCTCAAGTGAGTAGTGTGCCTACAATTCAACGGACCGGAGTG